TCCAAAAATGGTGACTGGCACCTCTTCCAGGAGAATCTTAATTGAAGTTCAGCAAGCTTAGAACTATAAAGTGCTTGCATATTTCCATACTAAACTTGCGTGCTTGTGAACATCAATCCATGAACACTTTTTTTTTACCTCTAGATAATATACTACATGCCTTAACATGATACACTGTCTTCTGAGCAGTAAGAAGTGCCTTAAAATGTTTGAACCCACCTGCATTGACCTATGCTATATTAGCAGAGGGGTTGTGTATCTGAATAAACCACTTAGGATAGTAAAGAGAATGTAATACAGCCATTTTGCACTAACTGGCTGGTTCATTCATGAGGAAGGAAAGAAGATTCTTTGTTGGAATGCTGCAGGCAGCTCTCTTTATGGATTTTACTGGCAATATTGTATTCTCCCCCTCTCCCACATCCCTTCATGTGTGTGCATGGATACAATTCAGGTCAATTCCGCTAACTTTATTCCATGTTTCACAACCTTTTAAAATTAAAAGGGAATAATAATGTGCAATGGTGTAAACAGTCTTTCTGTATATTTTAATAATTCAGAGCTATAATTGTCCCAATGGTAGAGTGTCTTTATTAGGCTAGTTTTATTTACAAATTTGGAGATTTTTCATAGCAATTTTTGTACTTTTCTTTCAGAGATTTTTTTCGCCCTTTGTTACATATGTATGTAACACATCTGTGTTTCTGTAACTGCTGTATTTAACTCATGTAGTTGAAAGAAATTGTATTTATAGACTGCCCTTAATATGGAAATGTCATTATCAGCACAATATTCAATCATTTGTCTTCAGGCTATAAAGCTGTTTTTAAAAATAGTAAACATTTATTTTAAAAGCACTGATTTCATGGAATTTTTGTTTGCTAGGTTTACAGTTTTATTAATTGCAAAACATTCTGTAAAAGAAAGTTGATGTCAGGTTGAGGAAGCTAAGGCATAGATTCTACGTATGGTTAAATGAATAAATAATTCTTGACCTTCGAGTCATAGTGACTTGCAACTTATATACTTAATAATTTAGGCCTAGCAATTTTTCTGTTTCATTTCCTGTAGTTCCAAAGTAAACTGTGCCCAAAGTGATTTACAGTAAATATCAGAACATCCTACACAAATTCACATAGGACAAAATCCTCAAGACAGTAACAATTTTGCAGTGAAATGATACAAACCACAAACACCATATACAACTATTTCTCTCCTTGATGAATCTCATTGGTTGCAGAAATTGAGGAATTGCTTTCTATTGAGATCTAAATGGGAAAACTCCTCTGTGAAATGTGCACTGTTCATTCTTTGGGCTATGAAATTTACTTGTTTCAGCAGTCAGTGTGTCTCACCCAGATCACTGAACGTTCCCCAAATGGTGCCTGTATCTGACACTCAGTAATTGATATAATCAATAGCAGTGGAGTCAGCAGTCTTTTATTTATTTATTTGCTTTTACTCTGTCCCGTAATTACTGTTCTCTAAGTAATACACTAAATAAAATACAAAATACAAGAATAATAGGTAAAACCAAGCTAAAAAAGTATAGCAACTGAGTTAAAGACAGCAAGAGTATATATAACAGTACATAAAACCTCAGGTTTTTATTGTGATTTATGTACCATTATAGTATAAATGTACATACAGTACTAAAACACGTGCTCAAGAAAGTTCCACCATCATCTTCTCACAAGTCAACAGTTTAGACAGTAATTAAGAAAGATACATTGGCCGTTCTTAAGATGAGAGGGGATACCGAAGTTATTAAGGATACATTTAGCACTTAAAGTACTACATTGGAACACATCTGAAATAAACATCATATTTCTGGTGACATACTACTTCCAATACCAGAGGCATACACCAATTACTGGGAACATGAGCAGAATGCTACTGTGCTTATGTCCTCCTTGCAGACTTCCCTTACATACCTGGATGGGTGCATAACAGAATACATATATGAGCTCATCTTTGGAAAAATCTGTCTATCAACATTAATAAACAATACAACTACATTGTTTTAAGGCAACATAAAATGTACAGAACAGTGTACAATCTTTTGGGCTTTCAAGAACTCATTGACAAAACGGTAGAAAAAAGGGAGTAAAGGAAGATAGGTGTTTCCCATTTAAGCCATATCTGCATTAGGTTACAGTCTTCAATGGAGTGTGAAAGTAATCTGAAGTCACCTAGATTGGATCCAGAAGTAGGGAAGTTATCTTAAATTTGCATTAAGGACTCTCAAAGCTTGCTGCAAAGAAGACACAAATAATTAATGGTTTTCCATTCTCAGCTCTCAAACCCTATTTCCATTCTTAGAAGGTCATACCTCTCCTTTCATAGGTGGAAAAGGTAAATTTTACAATGAAGAGAGATGGAGTTATCGCTAGTTTTACAGATATGATGGTTCAAAGGGGAGATTCTATCTCTATAATCTATAAATATACAAAAATTATAGCATGTTCTTCACAAAGTAAATATGACATACTCTACAACCTATCTTTGAAAAATGAGCTATGTTCAGACCTGCATTTCTATCATTTTATGTCTTTATAAGATACTAGGATGTTATAAATGGAATGGTAACTCGGCAAAACCAAACTGAAAATAGTTTTAAGATACACCTTTTCACAAAACTCATTATAAAGTAAATTTTATGGAAGCATTTTATAATTCTTCAGAGTGATAGCTATGCCCCAAATCATGCCTCACCAGTGGGTAAGGTTAAAAAAATAATTGTAAAAGTAGCAATCTAATGTTATATATTGATGAAGTGAATGATTTAAAGGGCTCAAACTTAACCCACATTTCAAACCAATACTCAAGGTTTGTGTTCTATTTAGCTGCCCTCCAAAATACATTTCACTGTAGTATTTTGTTTGGTGAATATAAGAAAAACTTAGAAATAATTTTTTTGTTCCTAGACACAATTTTAAATTCTGACACAAACTGTTGTATCTGTTATTCACAAAAATCGAGTTTTCTTTTAGCATTATTTTTAATGCAGTAACTTATCAGGCAATTAACAATTATATTCATAGTTTTTAATAAAATTTACAGGTTTGGAAAAGGATTGTTGACTCAGATTTATCTTTGGTACTCTGCAGACAAGTCTTTGATTTATAGATTTTCGAACAGGTCTTGCTTCTTTGTTTGGGGTCAAAGAATAACACTTTCAGAATTGGGAGATACCTCGTATTAATTAAAATCTTATAGCCCAATGGGAAAAATTTGTTGCAGCCATTTGATATCTTACAGCGAAATCAATGTCTTCATTGCCACAATCCTGGTAGATCATCTTAGAAATCACTAAAGATTACACAGAAATACTTTTTAATAACTTTACTTTTAAAAAAAACAGTAAAAACTAATATTAAAAAAAAGAATGAGAAGAAGAAAAGAGAAATTGGAAAAAAAGGATAATAAAAGATCAAGAGTGTAAAAAAGAGACAAAAAAAAAATGGACTTCCATCTCTCCTTGCAGCAGATATAAGTAACAATATACTTCTAAATCTTCCTCTAAATGTACCACATAACTTCCATTATTTCTATTAACCCATATTATTCCTAATCATCAAATCCATACAACATACTTTGATTTTTTTCTGTTTCCTGCAAAAAGTCCAAAAAAAGTTTCCAATTAGCATTAAAATTACACAGTCTTATCTCGAATCAAAGTGATCAATTTTGCCATCTCAGCCAACTCCATCAGCTTCACCACCCATTCTTCAATTGTAGATAGTATCTTACCTTTCAAGATGACACAGAAATAGTAAGCATGGGGTGCAGGAAAAACATGACACTAAAATTCTTCTGTGACAAAATTAAAATACCATAAGTAAATAGTTGTTTTAGCAGATACAGGTCTATTTGTACTATTTTCACAAAACTCATAATAAAGTAAATTTTATGGAAGCATTTTATAATTCTTCAGAGTGATAGCTATGCCCCAAATCATGCCTCACCAGTGGGTAAGGTTAAAAAAATGATTGTAAAAGTAGCAATCTAATGTTATATATTGATGCCTATCAGAGGATTTATCATACATTTGACAACAGTAACAAAGTAAGAATTAGCCTTCCTTTTCTCTCCACCCATCTTGGATATATTCCCCGATGAATGAAGCTAGTATTTGATGAAAACAACATTAAGAGAAGTTGATACGATGCGATGCAATGCAATGCAATGCACGCGGCAGTTCTCCCCAATCTCAGTAGGAGAAAAAGTCTTGCCAGTAGCTTTTTAAATGATACATCAAGTATGGGGGCTGAGACAAACCTTTGGTAAGCAAGATTATGGAAGAAAGTTAAGTAAACATTTTGAGAAAATGAGGGTAAGCAACATCAACAACGATAGTCGTGCACGTGACATGCACTTTTTAGAATAGCTTGTATACATGTGTGCGTAGATTTTACAAAAAGAAGTGGACAAGAAAATAGGTGGGGATCAAGGGAGAGGAGAAACCACTGCTTAATCAGAAAAGAGACCCAAAGCTAGCTGGCGCGCTATCACACCTAAGCTGGCGGACAACGCGCAGCAACTTCACATTTCTCTGGCCTATTGAGTAAACATACCGTCTCTCGCAAACCCTTCTCTTCCTCTTCCACCTGCTCGCTTCCTCACGTCTCCCTGCCTTCTCACATTTCTAATGCGTGGGGCGTCGCTTCGACTGGTGAGTTTACGATGTATTCGTGGAATCAACAACGCCCTCCCAAAATTTCCCCCCGGCCGTTGTCCTCCCCTTTCTCGACGCGCCCCACTCCGTAGATAAACACACGTTACTTCCACGCCACTCAGTCAGATCTCACCTCCATCCCGCACGCGCGCCGCTGGCCCTGCAGGTTGGCCCCCTGCGCTCTTCCTCCCCTGCATTCTGTTGCACGCTTGGAGACCCTCGCCCCAAGGTAGCCAATCACCAGGACCTGCCAGCCCCACCGGAGGCTTCTATTGGCTCCTGCCTGAGAAGGGGCGGAATGCTAGGCTTGGGTATGCCCGGATGTTCCCAAGCCTTCGCTGGCTCGCCTCCTTCGGTGGCTTCTGGTGTCGGGCGCCGTAAGCAACATGGATGGCGGGCGGGAGCAGGTGGAATTGCCGCCAAGCCCTCAGGAGGGGGCCCGGTTGGCGACGGCGGAGAAGAAGCAGGAAGAGCAGGGCTTTGAGCCACAGCCGGCCGCTGAATATTGCCGCGTGATGGAGGCGCTGACTTGGAAGAGGCCGTTCTGCACCCTGGCCAGCTTCCTCTGCGCCAACCTGCTCTTCTGGTGAGCGACGCAGACGCGCATCTCAGTCCCCGGACGGTTCTTTTAGACCCAAGTAGAGTTTTGCTTGTTCCTCCTCCTTCTTCCTCGGCCCGGTTGCTTGCCCCTCGGCGGCTGCGCTCTGCCATCTGTTTCTGGGCTCAGCCAGAAAACGTGCAAGGTCGCTCTAAAGAAAATGGTGCTCCTGAGCATGTACAGAGTGAATTTAGGAGGGCTGGTAGTGTCGTCTAGTCGAGGGATATTATTGCCAACAGCGGCCGGCCAGATACGTCTAAAGAAGAGTGTGAAAGCAGTAGACCTGTTCTCTGTGGGGAGGTTTCAATATGTTATGACTGCTAATACTGTAGCTACTTGGCATATCTGTTTGCTTAATCCTTAAAAGCCATCTAAGCTAGGGGTCTTCACCTCATCGTGTCGTAGCGAATTCCATAATTTAATTAAGGCAGAGGAGGAACGATTCTTCTTCCTCCCTCAATCTGGGTGGGGAGGAACCACAGCTGGTTTCTTCATGTTTAGGGAGAACAGCTTTTATGGTAGACAACTTATTTCATCCAGGTAGGTCTGAATTCTGTTTGAATAAACAGAAATTTGTGCTCTATGTTCTTTGCTATTTCTGCTTAGAGACTAGGAGCTTCTAATCTGTTGTTTTTCTTCTGCATATCCTTAGTGCTGGATCCTTCTCTATATTTTCTTTCTTTTCTCCTTTAAAGATGGTGGTGTTTCCCTAGGGACATTCGGAAAGGAAAGGATGGAAGCCCATCGGAATAAGTTAATGATGGGGGCACAGGGGAGAGAGAATAAGTGGGAAAATTGCTAGGAGAATAAAAGAGTAATTGGCAAGGAATGCATTGTAGAAGAGGAAGGTGAATCAGCTGCAACTGGATGATGCTAGGAACATCAAAGCACCTAGAGAATACTTAAAGGAAAGGAGGAGCCAAAACTGACATGGAAATATGAAATATAGAAGATAGTTACAGATTCTGCATGTGATCGTTGGCTGGTTTTAATCAGTAGGGTGGAGGACAACAGCTGACTGCAGGCAGAGCCATATGTAAGAGAAGCCACACCTGTAGCAGAAGCCAGAGATAGGCGGAGGAAAGTAATAGCAAAATAAATGCAGAGCAGAGCTGGGAGGGACCTGTACAACAGCACAAATACATCCTTTAAGCTTCATTTTCCTGCTTCAGTAGCAGGCAGGTGCACAGAAAAAGGCAAACAGTGACAGTACAAGACAGGATATGGCGGAAGAACCACATAGCAGTATAATGAAGGATTTATTTGAACCCACTCTTTTCTTCCAGCAAATCTTCCCCAAGAAAAAGGCAATTTGAGCTTGGTAGTGTAAAAAAAAAGGGGGGGGGTTGGACAACACCCTGAACCACAAATCAGCTGGCATATTTTAGCACAACATGTGATGCAAACCCATCCTGTGGGGTTGGCTTATGGCTCAGAGTGTTCTTGTGTTATTCAAACCCAGAAAATTAGAATCAACCCTTACCCCTTCCCTTAATCATAGGTTCACAGGCCATGTAAATACAGCTATTGTAGTTAAGTCCCATCAAGTCAGACTCAACTTCTGGTGTCTATATAGACAAATGCTTCCCATCTCATCCTGTCATTAGTTATATCTCAGAACTGTGGTTCCAAAGGTAGCTGTTTAAACTGTTTGATACTGTCCATTTACCTTATCCGTTGTCTTCTCTTCTGTTTCTCTCAACCTTGGAAGCATTTAATTTTTTTATCCATCATCTGCTGATATTGCAAATCCGAAATATGAGGTTTCTGTTTGCTAATTATTATCTCAAGCATTGAATGGTTTTTCTTGTAGTCCATGTTACTCTTAGTAGTCATCTCCAAATTCATAATTCAGAGGTGCTGTTTTTTCATTCATATCCAGCTTCCACATTAGCATCAGAAAGACACTGTTTTGACCACTTTGATCTTTATTGTCATAAAATATATATTTGTCCATATTTATTTACTTATTTTATTAGGTCTAGGCATTGTTTAACTTCAAAACAAGTCTGGGCAGATCTCAGTATCAAAAAAAAACCCACATACAGTATAAATAAGATAGTATCCAACCAATCAATCATAAAATGTACAAAGAGAGTCCCCTTCTCCCTATCCCAAGGGGAAAAAATACAATTGTTCATGATCTTATCTAAGTTTGTCATTGCCTTCCTCCCAAGGACTGATCTTCTCCTTCACACTGCCCATTTTTGTCCATGCTTGTGCCAAAGAAAAAACTATGTAACACCTTCACTTCTTTGGTATCGCTGCTTGTTTGCTAAGTATATTGATTTACATTATCTCTGTCTTAATGTTTAACAGAGTTTTCACTTTCCAATTTTTTACAGTAGTTCCATAATTTAAAGTCTTCCTTATTTTCAGCTAACAAAGCAGTATCATCCACATATTTGTTAGTATTACAGCCTTATATTTTAATTTCAGCTGTTATCTCTTTAATCCTGCCATTCTTAAAATAAATTCAGTTAAACTGAAATGAGGATAGTATGCATTCTTATCTCACTTTTCTGTTCCAAATAACTGTCAGTTCTTACAGCTTCTTTTTCATTGTAAAGGTCCTTAGAATAATGATCACGTGTTGTGGCACACCCATTAGCCTTAGCACATGCCATATCCTGCTATGATCTACACAGTCAAAAATTTTGCTGTAGTCAATATAGCAACAGTAGACCATCTTCTTATAGTTACTTGCTTCCTCTGTTTTCCATCTTGCTCATTTTCTGTTCTTATGTGTCTCTTTTGAAATCTTTTCTACATTCAGCATTTCTTTCTTCATTTATGGCTCTTTTTCTTTTTAAGATCTTAGCAAAGCTTTAGTCATGTGATAAATTAATGTAATGGTTTAGTAATCTGCATCATACATTGTGCTTCTTTGGAATAGATATATGGACCAATATTTTCTAGTCTCCGGACTACACAGCCTTGTTCCATATTTGTTGACGATAGATCTGTGAGCATTTTAACTGCCTCTTCTCTTGCATACTCAAATAGTTAATAGGCATTTCATTTTTTATCTTCCTTTAACCTCAGTTGCCTCAATTAGATCTTGTGATTATTTGTAATTATCTTATTTGTAAATTTTCCTGTGATCTTTCTGATCTTCTTAAATATCTTTTTTCTTGATATTTTCTTTTATTTGTTTTCTTGCTTGAAATATGTTTCTTTGTTCTCTGTTCTTATTAGAAATCTGTTCAATTGTCAATGTTATAATTGTCCAAGGTTTTAATCTTCTACATTTCTTTTCTATCATGATACTTTGTTTTGAAAGCCACTTGGACTTTTTCTTCTTTAAAATGTTGGGAATATTTTTTTTTCCTGTTCTGGTTTTTATGTTGTCTTCTCCCATAGCTGATCAGGTTCTCTTTTGTGTTAATTAAATATGCTGAATCTGTTCCTTACGCTGATCTTACATTCTGACTGTAGGTCCTCCAGGCAAATCTAGCTGATACAATTACTCTAATTTTCACCCATATATTTGATACCAATAATTTGTGGTCTTTCTACAATCTATACCTGGAAGTGTTCCGGCACTTTTGCATTTTTGGTTTCCTATTATGTAGTCAGTTTGATTTTGTTATTCTATATCTGGTGATGTTCATGAGTAGTCTCTACATTTATGTTGCTTAAAGCAGGTGTTAGCAATAAACAAAGAATTATTTTTTGCATTATAGCATTTCCTCAATACAAATCTTCTTGTCCCTCTATTTCTATCCTCTATTTCTCCAACTTTTGCATTCCAGTCATACGTTAGTAATACTGCATCTTTTCTTTGATGTTGCATTTAGCATCTCTTCAGCTTGCCATAGATTTCTTCAGTGTCTTCCATTATTGTATCTAATAGGATCATAGCTTCTATACCATTAATGTTCACTGGGTATCCACCAATTCTAATAATATTAGTTACAGCCAATTACATACCTAGCTATGTTCTTTTTCAGAAATATTTTCACTCTTCCTGTATATGGTCTCATGTCAGTAATAGTTTATCATGTAATTATGTAGTTTAAAATGGTTCATTTCCATTCAAACCATTTCAAATTCTCTTTAGTTCAAGTTTCTCACATTCCATGTTGCTATTATAGGTAGTCCTCGCTTAACAACCACAGTTGGGACCAGAATCTCAATCGTTGAGCAAAGCAGTGATTAAGCAAGATGCCCGCATAACTGCTTTGCTCAAGGACCACAATCCGGGCACTCCTGGTTGCAGTTGTTAAGCGATCTCTTGAGTCGTTAAGTGGACAGAGTGAAGGGCTGCCTGCTGAAGGATTTCAGCTCCATGCGGAGCTAAAATCCTCCCGGCAGGCAGTCCTTTCGCTCTCAAACATTTCTGCAGCCCACAGAAGTATCTCAGCTCATCCTCCGTCCCCTCCGCTTGCAACCTTCCCTGCTGGCTTCCATGTTGACTTTCTGGGGAAGCCAGCAGAGAAAATTGCAAATTGCAATCACATGATCATGGGACGCTTGGCAACCAGTCATAAATGCGAGCTGGTTGCCAAGCACCCAAAATGTGGCCATATGACCACGGGGGAGGGGCAGCGCAACATTTTACAACAGCTAGAAGTGCTTTACAGGCCGTAAAGCACTCTTTTTGAGGCCACAACTTTGAACCATTGTTAAACAAACTGTCGTTAAGCAAGGACTACCTGTATATATGTCAATGAAAAATAAGGAAATCTTCATATTGGCATTATCAATCAGACTTTGTTTTGGTTTTGATCTAGCAGAACTTCTGGATCTAATTGTGGAAGTTCAACCTTTTTCTCCAGTAACTAGAGGAGTGCTTTCTGATCTAGGGTTCAAGCTTGTTTAAATATTTCAGTTGCATCCTACAGTATTCTTGGCAATTATACAGAAATGAATTGCCATTGTATTCTTCCTGGTTGGATTTTAGACTTCTTTTATGGTAACTTAGCTTTCTTTACGACTGCAGAGGTCAACCTGCTGCCACCCCCATTGTCAATAATTCTTAATTT